CGCCGACGGGGAGCCCGTCGCGCGCGCCGACGACGCGCGCGCCGTCGCCGCGGCCGTCGCGCGCGCCGACGGCCGCGCCGTCGCGGACGCCGCGGCCGACGGCCGCGCCGACGACGGCCGCGCCGTCCGCGCCGACGGCCGCGCCGTCGCCGCCGCCCGCGGCCTTCGCCGCGGCGCCGTCGCCGCCGCCGAGCGCCGCGCCGTCGCCCGCGCCGTCGGCGACGCGCGGCCCCAGCGCGGCGCCGTCGCGGCCGCCCGCGCCCGCGCCGTCGGCCGCGCCGTCGCCCGCGCCCACGCTCCCCCAGCCGACGCTCGAGCCGACGCTGTCCGCGAGCCTCCGGGGCGTCGTCTGCGACGCCGGCGGCGCGCCGCTCGCGGGCGCCGTCGTGTCGCTCTACTACTGGTACTTTTCGCCCGAGGGCCACTACTCCGACAACCCCATCTACACGACGGTGTCCGGCGACGACGGGTCCTTCCGCTTCGACGACCTGCTCCTGGGCCTCTTCTACACGGTCAAGGCCGCGCGCGACGCGCCGGGCGCGGCGTCCAACTTCCGCACCTTCTTCACGCCCTACCCCTTCGTCGTGCTCGTGCCCCTGCCGCCGGCGGACCCGGCGCCGGGCTCGGTGCTCGCGCTCCTCCAGTGGGGCGTCTACTTCGACAACGCGACGCAGGCGACCGTCGGCGGCGTGCCGCCGGACGTGACCTTTGGCTTCTTCGGCAACGCGTCGTCGGGCGCCTGCGCCTTCGAGACCGCGGGCTTTCTGCCGCCGCGCGACGCGGGGAGCTGCCTCGGCGCCGAGGTCGTCGCGCACAAGGCCGTGAACCTGTCGGTCGTGCCCGAGGGCATGGACTTCCGGGACCACGAGCCCAAGTACACCATCGGCGCCCACGGCCTCGCGGCCTTCGCCGCGCCCGTCGCCGAGGCCCTCGACCTCACGCTCTTCGCGGTGTGGGAAACGACCAGCGAGCTGGGACGTCCCGACCAAACTTTGAAATTCTCCAGCCCGGTCACATCGAAGTCGATTCGGCTGATTTTTGGACGGATCGATTGCTCTCGTCGAGTTCTCGAAGCACGGCCGAAAAGGCCGCGTCGAGACTTTCAAATACGCTCACATTGAAAGATTTGATTTCCACGCAGGCTCTTCGCGTTCAACGCGCACGCGCGCGCCATCGAGTCGACGCTCCTCTTCATCGTCGACGTCTTCTCCGCCGCGCCCGACGGCGACGCCGCGGCGACGACCCACGCCTACCAGGTCCACAAGCCCGCGAACTGCGCGGCGAACGCGACGGCGACCGCGGACGCGTGCGTCTACTACGCGGACGTCGCCGCGCTCGTCGACGACGGCGACGCGACGGACTACGTCTGGAAGGACGCCGCGAACCGCGTCCACGGCGAGTTCCTGCGCTTCGCCTGCGCGCGCGCCGAGCCCGGCGCCGACGGCGCGCCGCGCGTCGACCTCCACCCGGCCCAGCTCTACCTCCCCGCGTCCGCGAGCTGGGAGGACCTCGCCGACCACGACCCGGGCGAGCTCTACCACCCGGACGTCCACCTCTTCGGCGCCGACTGCAGCGCCGAGGCGAGCCCGCGGACGGACCCCGTCGCAAACTGGGCCTGGCCCATCAACGTCGACCGCGACCTCCCCTACGCCGACTTCCTCGCCTCCTTCGAGGCCTACAAGGTCGGCGTCACGGGCCTCTGACGTTGTTTGTAGTACCTCTGTTGTTTCTCTTGACGCGACGAGCCGCGGGCCCCGGCTCCAGATGCCCGAAAGCCGCGCCGTCAAGGCTTCAGATTGAGGTTCAATATAGAGCTCTGAGTTTTTCAGCCATCCTGCGTCTGAGGCTGCGCCGCGCGCTTCGCGTGCGCACGGCATGGCGGCCCCGGCGGAGCCCCTGTCGCCGGGCCGGGCGTCCCACCTCGTCGTGCGGCTCAACGTCTACGACTTTCTGAAGCAGAGCGACACCGTCGGCGGGTCGCTGCTGTCCATGCTCGGCATGGGCATCCACCACAGCGGCCTCCAGATCGAGGACCGCGAGTACACCTTCAACAACAGCGGCATCATCCGCATGCGGCTCCTGCGCATGCCCTTCTGCCGCCTCAACGAGTCCATCGAGCTCGGCCGCTACGGCGGCAGCCGCGACGAGCTCGAGGCCATCGTCGCGGAGCTCGGCGCGGCCGAGTGGCGGCCCGGCGCCTACCACGTGCTCCGCCGCAACTGCAACCACTTCACGGAGGCGCTCGCGCGCGAACTCCTCGGCGCGTCCATCCCCGCCTGGGTCAACCGCTCCGCGAACGTCGCGGCCGCGTTCGGCCTCACGACCAAGGCCATCAACAACTCCATCACGACGGTCGGCGGCGCCAAGGCGCCGCCCAAGGTCGAGGCCGACGCCGAGGGCGGGGAGGGGAGCTAAGCGGGCGGCGACGGGCGCGTCCGGTCGGTCGAGGCGCGACGACACCCCGGGCGCCCGCGCAGTCGCTGGCCAGTGTGGCAATTGGCCGGCATGGCTGCTGCGAGCCTGCCGCGCCGCAGCGGCGCCGCCGCAGCAATCGTCGTCGCAAGGCGTCGCAGCGATGCGTCGCCGCGCCGCTGGCGCTGCGCCGCACTGCTCGTCGCGCTCGTCGCGGGCGTCGCCGGCGACGAGGGGCAGGCGACCTCCTTCGACGTGACGCTCGTGACGCAGGCGACGACGGAGAAGCTGTGGCTCGTGCCCGAGCTCTGCGAGCGCTGGCGGGGCCCGCTGTCGCTGTCGCTGTGGATCACGCGCGACGAGGGCGCCGCCGCGGCCGCGGGCGCCGAGGCCGCGGCGGGCCGCGCGGCGGCGGCGTGCGCGGCGGCCGGCGGCCTCGCGCTGACGACGCGCGTCGAGGCGCCCGGCGGCGAGCCCTACCCCGTGAACCGGCTGCGGAACCTGGCGCTCGCGCGCGTGAACACGAGCCACCACCTCGTGAGCGACGTCGACTTTTTGCCGTCGCGGGGGCTGCGCGCGGCCGCCGTCGCGCAGCCGCGGTGGCTGGGCTACGCGACGCTGGCCCTCGTCGTGCCCGCGTTCCAGCGGCGCGGCGGCGGCTGCAAGACCGTGCGGAGCTGCCGCGACAAGCTCGAGCCCCTGGGCGAGACCGTGCCCGCGAGCTTCGGCGCGCTCGTCCGGTGCCTCGAGGCGGAGTCGTGCATCGTCTTCCAGGGCGACAACTCGGCGACGTCCCACTCGACGACGGACTCGGCGGCGTGGCTCACGGAGACGGCCGTGCGGCCCATACCCTGCTTCAAGAGCAACCGCTACGAGCCCTACTTCATCGTCCGCACGTCGCCCGCGGTCACGCCGCGCTACGACGAGCGCTTCGCCGGCTACGGCAAGAACAAGATCCAGCACGTGACCCACCTGCGCAAGATCGGCTTCGCCTTCGCCGTGCTCCCGCGCGCCTTCCTCGTCCACGTGCCCCACCCGAAGAGCGCCGCGAAGGACGCGTGGCAGAACTCCTACGAGACGCACCGCGCCGTCGACACGCTCTACGCGGCCTTCCTCCGGGACCTCGAGGCGTCGACGCCAGCGTCCTGTGGCCGTGACGATTTTCGAGAGATTTGGGGTGGGAAAACAATGAGAAATCGTCACCGTCGTGCTTGGTAGGTCGACGCCGCCCCAGGCCGTCAAGGTCCACCTCTGCTCCGCCCTCGACGGCGACGTCGTCAAGAAGAAGAAGCCCAAGACGGGGCACTGGCGACGACACTCGGGCGGGTAAGGTCCTCGTTTCGACTGCTAGTAGTAGCCGCGGCGGCCGAGTCTTGGCGCCGTCGTCGCCGCGTTCCTCTCCGCGCCGGCGGTCTGGTGCCTGGCGTTCTTGAACACGAAGCCCCGCCTGGCGCAAGGACGACGACGCCGCCGAGGCGGGCATGGAGAACGACATGAACGCGGGGCTCTAGGGGTGGGCTTAGCCCTGAGGTAGATTTTGAGCGATTTTGCCTTGCTTGATAACCCCAGTCGCGTTGAAGTCGCCCCAAAACGACGCCCGGTCGAAGAACGCAGAGTCATGTCGTGGCGGGAGAAGAAGTTGGAGTATGAGAATCGCATGGCCCGAGCGAGGGGCAAAAAACTCGACACTCTCAAGACCTGCACGATCTGCGGCGCCGACAAAGCCAAGGCGTGCTTAGGTTGTGGCACGACGGCCTACTGTTCGACGGACTGCCAACGCATCGACTGGCGCGACCGGGGCCACCGGAAGGTCTGCAAGAAGATCCAGGCCGCGGAGGCGGCGCGGGCCGAGGCGCCGACGCCCCCGCCGTCGCCGCCGCGGGACGTGTTCTACGGCCCCGCGCCTCGGTCGCACGCCGACGAGGTCCGCGCGCGCATCGCGGCGGAACACGAAGCGGCGCGGGCGCGGCGCGAGGCGAACCCGGAGCCCGAGCCGCTGTCTGCGCGGTTTGGGTCGCGGTGCCCAATTTGCCTCGAGGAGTGGGACGTGAATGCTGTGGGCGTGTTTCGCGTCTGTTGCTGCCGAAAGGTCTGCCAATCGTGCGAGGACAAGATCGGCACCGGCGCGTGTCCCCTCTGTCGTGTACCGTACGCAGAAGACAATGCGGAGGAGCTCGCGCGTCTGCGCCGCCACGTGGAGAACGAGGTGCCGGAAGCGATTACGTTTTTGGGAAATGCGTACTGCGAAGGTTGGTACGGCCTCGTGAAATCCGAAAAGAAAGCCGCGAAGATTTACCGGCGCGCCGTGGAGCTCGGCGACGTGGACGCAATGAGATTTCTTGGGGAAATGTACGACGACGGTTTGGGCGTCAAGCTGGACAAGAAGAAGGCGGCGCGGCTGTATCGCACCGCCGCAGACCGAGGCGACGCGATCGCGCAATGCCATTTAGGGTTTTTACTTGAATCTCAGGAGAAGCATGAAGAAGCGTTCCGGTACTACGCGCTCTCGGCGGATCAAGGCTATACCGATGGAGAGAACAACCTTGGCGCCTGTTACATGGACGGAGAAGGCACGGAGGTCGACCTCGGCAAAGCCAGATACTGGTTCGAGCGCGCCGCTGCCAAGGGCATCAAGGAAGCTATAGAGTCCCTCGCGGACCTCGATGCGCAAGTATAATAGCCTAAACCATGTTTACGCCGCGTCGTCGCCCGAGCCCGAGATGCTGCGCTTGCGCGCGGGCGAGTCGTGCTTGGCCTCGGCCTCGTCGTCGCCGCGTTCCTCTCCGCGCCGCCCTTCGCGGTCTGGACTCTGGCGTTCTTGGATGCGAAGCCGGGCGCAAGGACGACGCCGCCGAGGGGTGCATGGAGAACGACATGAGCGCGATGCTCTAGGGGTAGGACTTAGCCCTGGCGTCAGGTTTGAGCGATTTTGCTTAGCCGCGGCGCAGGGAAGAACCGAAGGGGGAGAGAACAACGAAGGGGGGCGTAGGGAAGCGTCACGGGAGGACACGACTAGGGCGGAGGCGTACGCGAGCACGGCGACGAAGAGGGCACGACGACGTAGGGCGGCTACTGCTCGTAGGCGACGCCGAAGGTCCCGCCGGTGCCGCGGGCCGCGCGGGCGTAGGCCGCGTCGCGGGCCCGCTTCGCGGCCGCGTCCCGGCCGTAGTCGGGCCGCGGGATCGACGACGGGGCGCCGATGAGGCCGAGGCGATTTTGCCTTTGCGAGCCCGAGTGACCCATGGCGAGTGAGGTGGTTGAATAGGGAGCGTCTCGACGAGCGTGGGAAGAGATCATGGACCCGGGACTGATGAAGAAGAAGCGAGAGTACGAGGCGCGAAAAATTCGTACAAAGCTGGCGCTCAACATATGCACGATTTGCGGGAAGAAGGATGCCCGGCCCTGCAAAGGGTGCGGCACTACGGCCTACTGTTCGACGGACTGCCAACGCATTGACTGGCGCGACCGGGGCCACCGGAAGGTCTGCAAGAAGATCCAGGACGAGCGTGCCGCGGAGGCCCTGACGCCCCCGCCGTCGCCGCCGCGGGACGTATTCTACGGGCCCGCGCCGCGGTCGGACGCCGACGTAATCCGCGCGCGCATCGCGGCGGAGCACGAAGCGGCGCGGGCGCGGCGCGAGGCGAACCCGGAGCGGGAGCCGCTCTCGGCACGGCACGGGTCGCGGTGCCCGATCTGTCTCGAGGAGTGGGACGTGAATGGGAACACCGAAAACGCCCGACATTTTCTCGTCTGTTGCTGCCGGACGGTCTGCCGATCGTGCCTCAACAAGATCGGCCTCGACGCGTGTCCCCTCTGTCGTTTGCCGTGCGCGGAAAATCAAGCAGAAAACCTCGCGCGTCTGCGCCGCCACGTGGAGGACGTGCCGGAAGCAATTACGTATTTGGGACATGTGTAAAATTTTACCGCTGCGGTCTTTACGGCCTCGCGAAATCCGATAAGAAAGCCGCGAAGATTTGGAAGCGCTCCGTGGAGCTCGGTGACGTGGAAGCGATGGCAGAACTTGGGGGATTGTACCACGATGGAAGTGGCGTCAAGCTGGACGAGAAGAAGGCGGCGCGGCTGTATCGTGCGGCTGCAGATCGCGGCGACGCGGTCGCGCAAAACAACTTGGCGGCTTTCCTTCATGCTGAGAAGAAATTTGAAGAGTCGTTCCGGTACTTTTCGCTCGCGGCGAATCAGGGCTATACCTTTGCAGAGAACAGCATTGGCATGTGTTACGGGAACGGAACAGGCACGGAAGTCGACCTTGGCAAAGCCAGATACTGGTTCGAGCGAGCCGCTGCCAAGGGCGACGAAACAGCTACAAGGAACCTCTCGGCCTTCGACGCGCGCGCGAGTATATAGTAGCCTAAGTCTTTACGCCGCGTCGTCGCCCGACCCCGAGACGCTGCGCTTATAATTGCGGGTCGGACGACGTCCGCATCGCGCCGTAACCGAAACGCCTAGTCTCCTGCGGTCAGCCTCATGAGCTTAGTACTGTGGTCGCGGGAGCGCGCCGGCGTTGGCGAGCTTCTTGAGCCGGAGCACGCGCGACACGAGGCACGCGCTCGGGTTGACGCCGTGGACCGCGCCCTCGCCCATGACGGCGAGCTGCACGTCGCTCGACGAGCCAAGGAGGAGCGCCGCGGCCTCGGCGTCGACGGCCTGCTCGCCGAGCCAGGCCTGGAGGCCCGGCGCGGCCGCGCCGCCGCGCGGCGGCGCCTGCGGCGGCGGCGCGCCGTCGGAGCCCCGCGCCCTCTTCAGCCCGATCTCGATGGCCCGCATCGTCGCGAGCGCGGCGGCGGCCGCGGGGCTCTCGGGCACGGGGTCGGGCCGCCGCGGCGGCGGCGCCGGCGGCGCGTAGCCCCGCGGCGGCGGAGGCGCGCGGCCCCGCGGGTCCGCCGCGAGCGGGTGGTGGTACGGCGGCCCGAAGCCCCCGTGCGGCGGCGGCGGCGGCGCGCCGAAGCCGCCGCCGTAGCCGCCGCCGTAGTCGCCGCCGTAGGCCGGCGGCGGCCGCGGCGGCGCGCCGAGGAGCAGGTCGTCGAGCTCGGACGACTGCGGCGGCGGCGGCCGCAGCGGCTCGCCGCCGCGCGGCGACCGCACGGGCGGCGCGCTCGCGCCGAGCGGCGTCGCGGCCTTGATCTCGATGGTCTTACCGTCGAGCGCGTGGCACCTGCGAGCGCGCGGGGGTCGGGCGGGCCCGCCGGCGTCGAAGGCTTCGACGCCGCGCCGCGCCGCGGGTCGCGCCGCTGCGCCTCGATGATGTCGACGACGACGCCGACGTCCATGGTCACGAAGCCGAAGCCCCGCGACCGGCCCGTCGAGTTGTCGTACATGACGACGGCGCTGGCGACGCGGTGCGGCGCGTAGCGGCCCTCGAAGTACTTGACGAGGCGGTTGCTGTCCGTGCTCTGCGACAGGCCGCCGACGAACATCTTGCACGTCGTGGGGCTTTCTCTCGCGCGCTTCATCGTCGATGTGCTGTTTTTGTGGGAGGTCGACGGCAAGGCGCGCGGCTGGGTCGCAAAGCAGGCCTCCAGACTCGCGCTCCCTCGCAGTGCTCGTTGCCCTCTCGTTGCTCGCCGCACCTCCGAGGCTCGTCGGGT